GCATTTTATTTTATTTCTGGATAAAGAATATGGCATGACCAATGATAATAAGACTAATCTAAGGACTGAAAGTTTTCGGAAAAAATTGAAAAAAATAGAGATTTTGAAAGTTGTGTGCAGTACTGTTTTTAAATTGTGGTGATATCGAAAGAGAAAGAAATAAGTATTTTTACAACGAAATATGCAATTTGCGCAGAAGCAGACGGTGAATCCTTTGATAAAAAAATAAAGCGTGAGCAATAAGATAACGCTTAAGATGTTAACAAAATACTGAGATCCTCTTTTATTACGAGCTACCCGTTAGTTTCATATCATAAGCATGCTTTCTGCTGTCTTTCTGCTTTTCGATGATAAAACTTCTGTTATTTTCTGCTTTTTGCAAAGTATTCTCCGCTTTTCGGACTTCAAAAGGTGGCAACATTGGTGCCTTCGTTGCAATTTGAACATCTCAATAATAGAAAGGTTTTAAGAGGAAAAATTTTTGGCGTTTTCATGTCTTACTTGGGGCTACCTATGGACAAAATTTCATTGAAATCCGTGACATCGATTGCACACGTATGGTCGTGCCTATCGTGCAATGGCTCCTAGACAGAAAGCAAGCATTCACGATGTCCTTCGCTTCATTCTCTCTTATTTCTCTACTCTTTAAGTATAGTCGTCGCCCAGTCAGTGTGATCCCATTGCAATGACTTTATGTAGTTCCAACCAGAAAACCTAACTGAGGGTAGTGGCAAAGCGACAGGGGTTCATCGAGTTCACACGATGTTCATGCGTATGCGTATGGGCTTGCTCTGTTCGTGCATGGTCAAGCGGTCACCGCTCCCAGCATTAGAGGAGATTATCTGGTCGAGCGCGGGAATATCCGTTTTTTATTCAATGCAAATCATTTTCAATCACACAAACAAATAAACATCATTAATTTATCATTTAGTCAATATGAAATTTTTGTACTCGATGATTGTATGTATCGGCGACATAGAGATTGCCGTCTCGATCGAATGATATACCATAGGGATAGTACAATTGATTCGATTGTCCTCCTTGACCATTTCCACCAGCAATTACACTTCCATGTGTGTCCCCGTTTGGCCAACGCATTATTCGATGATTCCCATAATCAGCAACATAAACTGTACCCAGTTGATCGACTACTACTCCTCGAGGACCTATCAATCGTGAAAGGCTATCTCCTTCTCCTAGACCACCTGCTACAACTATGCCTTCTTTTGCACCTTCTTCCCATTTCATCACACGATGATTTCCCGAATCAGACACATACACTGAGTGATCTCGATCAACAAATACGTAGCTGGGACTGTTGAGTTGATCAAGACGACTCCCTTGCCCATTACCACCTGCCATCACTATTCCTTCAGTGTCACCCATTCTATATCGCCTCACTTCATGTTTTCCACCGTCAACGACATAGAGAGATCCATTCTCGTCGATTGTCAAACCCCGACAACGGATGTTCGAGATGATTGTTTCTTTACTAGTACCATTTTGACCAGGCCATCGAACTACTTTATTATTTCCGTTATCGCTGATGATAAGACTGTCTCTCACTTTGTCGACAATCAGATCGAAGGGAGTATCCAACTGATGCGTTCCATTTCCTTGTTCCTGTCCACCGGCAACCACTTGACCACTCGTTGCATCCCGTTTCCATTTCATAATACGGTGATTAGAGTGATCAGCAACATAAATTGTTTGATCATCATCGACATACAAACCTGTTGGGTCACTGAGTTGATTGATCTCACTGCCTCCTCCGTTTTCTCCAGCTACAGTAAGACCATTTTGTATCCATTTTGTATTCGGATGAATATCAATCGCAGGTGCTCGTGGTGGTACTTAAAATAGAGAGGAACTTGAGAGTGAGAGTGGAAATGACGACTATCTGAATTGAGAACTATTATTTTACTTTCTTTTCGTTTGAGTCCATGGAAATAGTCTATCATCATCACCGACCGAATCTTTCGTCTGTTCCTTCATTTATCTCATTGTGAGCACATAAGATCTTTGTTTTCATTTATTAAGTTTTTTTTTTGAGAGATACATTTGGCGCAGTTTGGTTTCTGTTCATTGTACTATTCTTGGAAACTATTCATCTAACAAAGTTATAAGAATGTCAATCTCGATATTCTCTTTCTCTCACTCGATGATTTCATAATTTTTGACATTTTCTTTTAATCGAATTTTCAAAAATCAGAACGATCAGTGACAGAGAGAGAGATAGTCAGCGTGTGTGTCCGACGAAAAACCTATTTCCTTGGCTTGAATTCGGAAAAAACATGTCTTCTCAGTTAGCATTTTCATGTTTTTCTTCTGAACTCCTATTAATTAGAAAAAAATAGAATCGACATTTTGTGTTGTCCCTCAAAAACACACAATATTCTCTCCTCGATAGAATTATATAGTTATCGATGAGATTTGTTCCACCGAACAACAACTACTACTGAAACTTGATACAAACACTAGTCGAGATTTCTCTTCTACTACATACAGGTTGCGAAGAAGAAGATTCTCTAGGCGTCAAACTGACATTTTTTTCGTTTGCGGAAAGTCTTGAGAAAAAGACTCATCGATCGATAACCCACGGAAAACACAAAGAAAGCGTGCTCTGCAAAGTTCTATCTTCAGAGTGAAAATGAGGATGAGGGTTATATCAAAACATTGATTGCAGCGGGTATTTCGAAACAATTTCAAAATTAAAAAGTGGTTGTCATCAGGTTGAACATATTTAAATCTAAAGAATATAATGAAACTTTGAAGAAATGCCGAGAAGTCTTATTCTCAGAAAAAAGTGGAATGTTTTCGAGACCGGTTTCCATTACTCTCTCCTTAGTTATGTCATTAACTCTCTTAAGTACACACACTTTTCTTCAATTAACCACCACCTTGATTTCCAGATTACGTCTCTTCTGTGTCGATGCATGGATATATTCTTGTTCATTGATTGTATCGCAACAGTATCCATTTTCAGGGCAGACTCTTAGATTGGTTGATTAGAAGCTGGAAAATGCACAAACAAATATATTGTCTATGTATACATATTTTCCTCTCACCCTCAAGATTACTATTCCCCAAACGCTGACTTTAAAACATCGACACAGTTTTCACCTGTAACAAGCACCAAGACTTTGCCATTTCTAGATCAGAATTTTCGTCATAGTTTCAACTCGAGAACCATCAGGCCTGAGAAAATATACCAATAAAAACGTTAACTTCAACAAATATAAAAGCTTCACTAAGTCACGACTTTGACTGACTTCAACCTCAATATATAAGTCACTTGGAGGATCTTGCGGCTATGCTGACCTCTGGTCTTTGTCCGACTTTAAGTAAGATGGCAAGAGATTTAGTAAAATCGGGTGAGCGTTCAAACGTTTTGTTAGGTGACGGCCGGAAACCTCTATTGAATTTTGTGGGATTTCGAGAAAAGCTTTTTCTACAGTGTAAGAACGGTACCGTATGGGGTGTTGGTTGTGGTTGTTTTGATAGTTGTACTTGTTAATTGTACTGCGTTCCCTGGGCTCGTTGCTTTACTGCTTTTGTTGGTGGCATACAAAGTGGCGAATACAATCGTGGTGATGACAAAAACAGTGACAAGAACACCAAGCAAAATGAACGGTCTTTTAGAACGAGATCCGGATTTGGATGGCTGACTAAAACACAACATATTGCATAACTCAACAATGTTCTTTTATTGAATCGACAAGAGAAAAACAAAACACTATATACCTGATAACTTCTATCGTTCCTTTACTGAATTGAGTTGTCATACTTGAAATCGGAGACAATTTTCATCTAACAACAGCTACGTAGAACTCTTTCAATCTTAAAATGAATAACTAGGCAAGATTTCAGTAATGGACACCTTTATGATGTGCAAACACAGATATAGTGTTGTGCACGCTTGTTATTTGTGATGATAAGACGAAATGAAGACAAACATAATCATACCTTTTCTTTCTGTCCGAGTGCAAAAATGAAGACTGCGTGGAGAGGACGGTTATTGATAACAATGGAACTTTTTCAACTTTTAAAGTCGATTCCTTGTCTTTACATACGCATCGAATTCCGAAGCAGTCATCCTATTCCGCGATCTTCAACATTGCGGAATCAGTTCCTTGGAGTTCCTACACTGTGAAGAAACGTTCAATACTTAACCTTTCCACCAAAATGAAAATAAAGGTCCACAAACAAGGTTTTGCACTGAACTTTTTTACCAAATGTGAACAGATGTTTCGTACCGACTAGAACATCTATCGTGAGAGGCGAGAGTGTTGAGGGTGGGATGGGTGTGAGAATGAGAGCATATTAATAAGAAGAGTAGTTGCTTACTCCTATTCAGAAGTAACCTATCTCTTATTAGTACATTCTCTCGAGATCACTGTGTTGTGTCACACATAGCCGATGAAACAAGCCTTTTTTCCTAGCAATGCATGATCCACTAACATGCTGATATTATTTAATAAAAAATATTGACTCCGAGCGGGTGAGGTGAGGGGTGGCTGAGGGTGAGGGTGAGTAGAAATACACCGTTCCACGACAAACGTTGTTTCTGTTTTGTGAGAACGTCATCAGGTGGATTATAAAGATATTATATCAACAATAGTAATTTCTTTAATAATAAATAAATAAAAATATTTGAAATTACTAGGATACAATAATCTATATTACTATTGCACAAAGAATATATTGAACAGTTGGATTAATTAAGTATAATCAATAAGAGATTATATATGTCCATATTTACTTAGATATATTTAGTAATTGATATTAAAATCAAAGTTTTCTATTATGTGTGAGGATAAGATAGGAATAGGCCGTTCCACACCTAAGGTAGTTAAATGGTTTAGTTGATATTGTGGGCAGATTTCAAATAGAGAAGTGTTGGTGCTTGTTAGAATGAAAACGATAGCTGTGTCAATGGTTGGAATATTTGTATAATTGATTTATATTTATTGTTGAGTTAGGTCTGCTGTCCGTCGTAATTTGCTTTGTGTGTTTATTGGAACAGAATTATACCCATCGTTTTGTTGTAGTGGTTTAGCGGAAGTTATTTGTGGAGAATATTTGATGTTGAAAATGTTGGGATTGACGATAATTGGTATTATTATAGAGTAGGTAGTTATCCGAAAAAAGAACAAAAGAAATGAAATAGACAGCTGATATTGATAATGTATATCGAGATATACAGAGAGAGCAACTTAAATCTTAGGCAGTTTGAGTAATAAATGAGAATAATAGTAAGGATTTATAATTTATGAATAATTAAAGGAGATGATCAGTTTATATCGACGAAGTCTATTGTTGTGTTTTGAGTTGGATTAGTAAATCGAAGATTGAGATGGGATGGGTAACCGATTTTGTTTTTAGTAATAGTTAGAAATTTTTTTGACGTTGTCGTATTTTAACCATTTTCTGGTGTTGAGTGTACTTGAATACGTTTTGTCGAAGATGATCATACAGACTTTGATTGTAGTAGGCCTGATTATAGTGAAGTTTCAATTCATCGGCATCAAATTCTTCGAGAAATAATAGAAATTTGTCAATAATAACATCATTGTGGAATCTATTGAGTCGAAATGACAATTGCAGATCTTGAAATTCGTTGGCAAAGTCAGACACATTTGTATAACATCGCGTAGCACGTATAAGAGCGGCTCGAAACAATGTCTTACATTTTTGTCGTTGATGACCAAATACGAAAGGTAATGAATATGGTTCAGTGTTTAAATTATGAGCAACTTGAGTTTTAAGTTCACCATCGATATGGCTAATATTCACATCGAGATAATTGATATTCTTATTAATTGTTATGGCCAGACGAATCGTAGGATAATGTCTATTCATTGTATAAAGTAGTTCATAAAGACTCTCTTCGGATTCATTCTATGTAAAGAATATTTCATCAAATGATCTATAATAGAGTAGTTGTTGAACAAGAAAGAGAACTATGTCAAAGACTAAGTTCTTTACCTGCCAAAGATTTCATTTTTATTATCTAAAATTGTCACCAAATCTTTTTGCCAAGAATATATGAAGATGTTTGCTAATATCGTCGTCAATGGTGATTGAAAGCCACTTCCTTGAATTTGTTGATAGACTAGTTTGTTGTCATAGAGTATATATTGATTTTCAAGAAAAATTTCAACAAGAGCAATAATCGTTGGTATAGTGATACCTTGAATTTGTTGATTGAATAGATATTCATGAAGGAAACGTTGTAAAGTTTCAATCATTTGTTGATGTGGAAATATGGTAGATAAATTATTAATGTAGAGTGTAGCAAATAGAGTGTTTGGTCGAAGCAAACCTTTCTTCGTACACTCTTCCATCGCATCGATGACACCTGTACCTCTGTTAAATGTCTCGGAATATGTGACTCGATCATAAATAGGTCGAAGAAGACGATGGAGAAAACGAGAGATTTTAATTGTTAAACCACGATGACAGACCATCATTGAATGAAAGGGAATATTTTCCTATATAACGGGTGGCGCAGAATAAATGGCCCTCTCAGTATTTTAATCATA